ATTAGTAACACTGGGTCGATAAGTTTTCCAGGGACAAACAGATTATATTCCTTAAGTAAATTGTTCTAGTGTAATGAAACATATATACAAGGATTTCAAGTTTACACTTACTTGCGTCTTTGTTCACAAACTTTGTATTTATAAATCACAAAGCATAAAAGTAATTTCGTCGTTCGAAGAAACAAATCAGTCGTAATCCAACATATATGAAACAATATATTTCATGATAACGGTTTAATTTGTAAGTGTAAAATCTTTATGCTCTATTGTAGCATAGCTTGAGAAAAACTAAATGGATAGTAGATTTTAGAGGACTAAGGGATTTCTTTAAATAAATAGGTATATACACAAAGAGAGAAAACATTTCACAACAATACCTACTTAATATAAATAATAAAATAATAATTTTCGATGATCTAACCATACTATTTCTTGAACATTGAATGAAAACTTATCGAGTGACTTTGTATATGAATGAAACGAGGTAGAAAAACAAATTACTCTGTTTGAAAGTAGTTTGTACTATAAACTAGTGTTATATGAAATACCGATTATTGGATAGCTGCTTCACTGTTTAATATCCCTAAAACAACAGATTAATATTCTGGTGAATATAATATCTTCAGTCGACTAAATCGAAAGAAAGTGTTTAGACATTTTTTTTATTTTTAAGTAATTCATAATGTAACATGAGCATTATCATTAATAAGTGACTATTTTCACCACTCAGCTAATTAATTCTATAGAGATTTATATTAGAAATTTAAGTAGTCCATTTCCATTAACATTAACTAGTTGAGAAATACATTAATAAGGCATATAAAAGTGGGTTTTTTTTTACATTTTCTTAACATTTCAAAAGTTTCTAATATGAAGTTGTAAAAAATCTGTTGAAATTTGTATATATATATATATATATATATATATATATATATGGATTGAATATTTGTAAAAATCATATATATAATGAACAGTTATAACTTAAGAAAAGATAGAAATTCATTAAAAGTTTTG